ACCACGACGGACCGCGAAGAACCAGCTGCCGAAGCCACCGGCAGGGCCCCACGCGGTGGAAAACCGCCCGCAGGCACAGGGCGACCACGTTGCTGCTGTTCGATGAGTAAGGCCCGGTGGTGAGCGGCTGAAACACTGTCCGGGGCGAACATGTTCAACATATCACAGATGTCGACCCTCAAACCTCCCACATAACGATATACCAATTGAGCCGGAGTGTCCCGAAGCTTAACGCGATTAAGTAGACGATAGAAATCATTGGTGTAATCGTCGACAGACCGAGCACCCTGACGTAAATTGTGCAATTGCTGATACATGGTACTCACATAATTGAAGGGAAGGAATTCATGTTCAATGTGTTTCCGGAATTTGGCCCACGATTTGATATTAGGTTTACCCGCCTGTCGTCGGGACTCCGTAAGGTGTAGCCACCAAGCGATGGCACTCCCCCGCAAGCGTGTGGCGACAAGCCCCACACGATGACCATCCAGAACCTCTTTGTAATCCAAGACGGACTCGACTGAGCCCATCCAGTCAAGAAAATCCGCTCCGTCAAGACCCTCGGTAAATTCAGGGATATCGACCTTAAACGCCGCCTCCCATCGCCGATCGCCCAACGCCGCCTCCGTCGCCCGCGGCTCCTCCTCGGTGAATGGATTGACATCCTCCTCCGTAGCATCAGAGTCGGCGCCGCTCTCCTCCTCGTACGACACGAGCTGCCTGCCACCCCGTGGATCACCGCGACCCCCGCGCCGTCCACGTAACCCCCCGCGCCCGCCGGTCCTTCCATCGGGCCCGTCGCAGTTTATGCCGTCGCGATTCGCCATCTGCTGGAGAACCATCCTGATATCCGCCATGCCTTCGGTAAGGTCCTCAATCTGCCGGCCAAAACCCTCGTTCTGGCGCATAAGGGAAGCAATCGCCGCATCCCGTCTGTCATCGGCCGGATCTTTCCTCTTCGGTGGCATCGTGGATCGTAGCTGATTTTGATTACCAACTGATGTAGCGCAGCGATAAACAATAGGGAAACAAGAGATGAAATCTCAAAGTTCTTATTTTTTTATTCAACGATGATTGTCTTCATAAGAGAGAAGAAGGGAATAAATTACCCAAAAGCCTAGGTTTCCTAAACATGCTAAACAAGAAAATATTATTTAAATAAATATTAAATAAAAATATGGAATAATAATAAAAGCTAGGAAATAAATAACTAGACTAAAGAAGGCATCCGGTCGTATTTCTGTAGGAACGCCATCGCGATCTGGTCTCCATCAATAAGTCATGTATGTTATGTATTTGGTGTTTTCCTTAACAACATAGGAGTTATCTGGTTGAAGTAGTTGGAATAAATGATGCAATGCAATCTAAAAGGCTTATTGACACCAGAATGGGGTACTTAAATATGCTTTAAATAAGGATGGGTTCTTCTAAATAAAGTACAAAAGTATGAACGATCTTGTGAAATTGCCGAGCAGTTCAGCCATCGACAACAGATAGTTAATAATTTGAATTGCTAATAGACCGGCCAATAACAAGTTGTATTAACTAATGATGACCGGCGATGTAGAATGGCCAAGTGATAAAACCACGTACAACAAATAGTACATGTTTTTCTTCATTAAGTTCACATGCTGAAATCTCAAATATTTTCAATGTCATGACTTAATGTTTTTCTTCATTAAGTTCACATGCTGAAATCTCAAATATTTTTAATGTCATGACTTAGGCTAGTTATGGTCCATTAGCATTGAGTATATAAATCCTAAAATGGTCCCAATAACTCACTTTCTACAGTATCCACCGAATGAGGTGCAATTCTTTACTATTCTTCACTTTTAGTGATATCTAGATATTTTGGTAGGCAAAATATGGAATAACACTAACAAATTCTCTTTATTCTACTTTATCTTCATGCAACTTTGCAAATGTGACACACTACCATTTGAGGCCACTACCACGCTAGAGTTCCTCAAATCTTTAGTTTTTGACCGCGCGTCGCAACGCGTCAAAATTATAATTTATATTTTTCCTTAACCAACTTCTACTAATTTGTAGTAGCGGCGAGTAAGTGTCGAATCCACAAGAAGTGTGAATCAAATTGTAAATTTTCTTGTATTAATTGAAACTAAGAAAGCAATAAAATAGAGGGGAGGTTGGATATAATAACTAAACTAAATAAAATTCTAAAGAAACAAAGGAAATAAAAATAAAAATTGAATAAATAAGAGAATTTTCTAGTTCACGGTTCCATATACACCCTCGACTGACTCGTCTAATCAACTTTGGTATCAAATCTCGCTATCTTATGAAATTACTAGCCCTAGGTAACGACACGGTCTGTTACCCAAATTTTTATTTATTTTTAATCTAACCGCGAGACGCTCTACGATTAAATCTGACCTCTTGAACAGTCTAGGAAACACTTCCTAAATTTAATTCAATTAGCCGCTTTACGCATTAGAAAAATAGGATAGACTAAGTAGCGGAACTAGAAATAAAATCTAAGCTATCATAATAAATAAAAACAAAAGAAAGAGAATAAGATTATCCCCTTTCGTGTGCGAGTGCAGTTTCCCTCCGCGATTAATCGGGTATTTCCTCCTCTCTGCGTGTGCTTCTCTGTTCTCTTTCTGCGTGAATATATCTTTTTTCAGGCTGGGTGAATGTCCCAAAATATATATATCTATCCTTCAATTATTGTTGCACGTGTATGTCTCCAAGGCAAAGAAAACTATTCTCCAATTTTGTTCCAATAGTCTTTAGTGGGCTAATTTTTGTGAAAATACTTGGACTCCACCTAATATCTCACATCTCCCCCAGGCATGCGTGTTAATTCCACATGCTCCAAATTAATTATAATATTGGGCTTAATCAATTAGCATTAGCCAAACTCACTAGTAATTCCTTGGCTCGTCTCTTCGTCCACAAATATACTTCAATATCCTAAAAATAAAATATAAAAATATCCAAGAACTAGAATCCATCTAAATAATAAATAAGTCGAAAAATATATAAGTGCGATAAAATTAAGCATATACAAATACGCTAATAAATATATAAAATACACATTTTTTTCGACCAATCAGTTTTCACAAATTCTTAGTGAGACACTATCGTTAAGTCGATCGGTGTCCATACCTTTATCGTAAAATATTGTGTACTTAGCATATCGAATGGCATACTTTTGTTTATATTATTTTTTTTATTATATAACATATTCTTTTGAAAGTATGCATATCTGTTGACTAAGTATAATTGTATAACTGCAAGGCCTGCCTAACTATTTATTTTTTAACTATAGAGAAGAAAGCGAGATCAATTAAATAGAATTTTATGAAACAAAATAGTTTCATGTTTAGTTTCAATACTAATGTGAAGTTAGACAATCATATTAAATTTTAAACATAGAATATTATAAGTTACATTTATGCATATAATATTAAAATTATAAGTTAGATGATGATATTATGTACGTTTCAATATTTGATCCTTGGTTAAAATAAATAGTACGTAACTGTTTGATTGAATATGAATCACTATATTGATGGCATAAAGTGTAATAAATAATGTAATATTTGTAATTTTAATTTGAAAGACCATGACTAATTAATTTGCTGAAAAATATTAAATTCGTTGTAACAATTGTTTATGCGCGACTTTAAGAAATTTTACTCTACCATTAAAATGAATTAATTTATTTAAAAAACAATCGCTTAATCAGATAAAAACATATAATATTGAGTAAATAACTTTTTAACGTTAATATTATCAAAATATAAAATAAAATATTACGATGCTATATATCTACTTTCAATAATAAAGATTAAAAAAAATA